TAGTTCCCAGCTATCGTTAGTGCCCAGCTATCGTTAGTGCCCAGCTAGCATTAGTGCTGGCAGTTGTTGTTGACAGGAACAGTGGTTAATTTGAGCTGGATCCTGCTGGAACTAGATCCAGGAACTCTCTGATTTTGACAGGCTGTGCTCCAGCAGCTGTTTGCTCAGATCCGGCAACTCAAATCTTCGCCCATAAAAGTCTGAAGTCATTGTGCATTTTTATTTAGATTATTTATTACAAATACAAAGAGAGGAGATGTTGCCCAGTCTGTGGAGCGGATGTTCCGGCTGCACTATGCGCACCAGCTCACGCACACGCTCCTGCCCAGCAGAGACACGGATCGCATGTCCCGCAGGGATGAGCATCTTCATCCACCTTCAGCTGTGCGCCCTGCAGACAGTGCACGCTTTACACACAAGAGCGTGTCCAGACAGCTCTGCAGAGCAGGCGCACAACTGCTGATGTGTCGGAACTCCTGCATACATTTAAGACATAATAAATAAAAAAGCTTACAGTAAAAAAAAAAAAAAAAAACGGACTGCCTGCTATTTGCGTTCCAGCATCAATCGGACAGGGATGGCAGTGAAATGCTACAGTTGTTCAGTTGAGAAAACAGCATCAAGAAATTGTGTTAAAGTGTTTAATACTGTTGTTCACGCTGGTTTGTTGTTTTGATAATTATTAAAGAGATAAACAATAAAACATGTCACTCATTTGGCTAGCCATTTGACTAATAGGGGCAAAGACTTTCAGCTCTTTTCCACACTTTGCTCCATGACTGACACAATTATCTGTTGTTATTAGACAGAACATCCCTTCAAAGCTGACTGGACTATCTCTTTAATACTTTAGTAAAAAATGCCACCCACATACAGTAACAGTAAAAAGTATTTTGTTTTTGAACTCTGCTCGAGTTCTTCTGTTGGTAACAAGCGTTGTAGAGACTTTCTGTTCCTGGCTGTGTCGCAGCTCCAAACCAGGTCATTTATTGTTTAAATTCAAATAGTTTAGAGTTATTCAGGTGGAAATAAATGAGCACACGAGTGCTTGGATCGTGAGTACTTCCCATCATGCTGCGTGTGTGTTGTGCCTCGCCACTACAGGGTGTGTTGGTGCTCCTGCGTTCCGGCTACACATCGCTCCGCAGGCCCGACCACTTGTCCCAACCGGTGTTTTCAGCTCGGGTGTGAGTCAGAACTGCCGTGCATTCGCTCAAAATGGAGAGATGCTTCTTGAATGTTGTGCCAGGGGTCAGGGGTCAGGTGCTTGTGGAAAATTTCCTGCAGAGCAAAGAAATGGCGACGTGTGGGCGGCGTGTTGCGCAGCATCAGCAGTCGGAGAGCTGCGGTGCGTGGAAGGGCACCCTCTTTCCATTCCTGCGTCACTAAACTCTGCTGGCGGGATAAAAAATGTGATGTCACCGTCTTAAAAATTCACCTCGCTGAGAGTTACAATTTCTAAATGAGTCCAAGACGAGACGCTCAAACAGAACAGTGGATGTTTCTAAATCATTCATTCGTTCAACCTTTACATGAGTGACGTTGCCCCCCACCCCCACCCCACCTGCTTCAAACCTATCAAAACTGGTTTCAAACATTTGTGCTGGTTTTTGCACTAAAAAAATTTCATTTGTGCAGCAATCTTTTTAAAGTTATTAATAAATGTTTCCAGACATGTAAAAGTACAACAGTACAGTGTGTTTGATAGCACCCCCTGGTGGTCAGAAACCAAAATGCAGGTCATTGGGTTTGTTTTTTGAATGTGTACCAGTTCATCCTAAGACCTACAGTTCAAAATGAAAGTCATCCATGTTAAAATGTATCTATTCATGTTCCTAGTTCAGCACCTGAGCGTGTTTAAATGAAATTCACAGTTCATGAACAGATTTTGGTTGACCTTTGATGACCTCTGGAAACGTTAACATCTTTAAAATGATTGTGGCACAAACGAAAATTTTTGCTGCACAAATGTTTGACACCAATTTTCATTAGATTTGACAAAGGTGTGTGTTTGTGGGGTGGAGGTGTGTGTTTGTGGGGTGGAGGTGTGGGGGGGAGGGTCAACTTCACTCTGGTATTTTTGTTCTGTTTCAACACTTCATGTCTCAAAACGTTCGGCTCCTTCAGGACATCTGTGACTTTTGGTATTTGTGCAATTTATACTTTTTGAAAAGTTTAGCTTTTTCTTCCGTGTTTCTCTCATTGACAATGAATGGAGCCCCCCCCCCCCCCCCCAGCCTTCAAACTCTGTTTAAAACTTTTACTGCTCAGCTTCAGCTTTTCTCAGCTTCTTCGTGCTCATTTCAGCCTTTTTATACTTTTTCTGCTATTTTTTTTGTTATTTTTGCTCATTTTGACCGTCTGAGCTTCTTTTTCTAATCACTGCTCCTTTCAGCCTCTTTCTGCTAATTTCAGCCTTTTTAGCCTCTTTTATACTGATTTCACCTTTTTTCTGCTAATGTCATTTTCTGTTGTTCGACGTATTGTTTTGCACTATTACTGTTTAACGTATTTCTTAGTTTATATCTTAGATCCTTTTTATTGTTTCTTTGCAATTTATATTCTTGCTGTTGTTGGGTGTAACTGGGACCCTGTGTCCACAATTTTATTCCACCTCATGTACCACATGTGATACAAATGACAAAGAACCTTGATTTGCTCTTTTCAGATTTTTTTTACACATTTCTGCCATTTTTCTGCATCTTTCCACTTTTATTTTCCTGCTTTCAGCAAATGTCAGCTGTTCAAAGCACATTATGACACTTTTTCTGCAGCTTTCTCCAAAAACCATTCAGCAACAACCATTTCCACTGTATTTTAGCAGGACATTACATGTCTTTAATGTTTAAATTAGTGTTTTACTGTTTGTAAGGTTTTATTAATAAAGACTGTGCACAAGTTGAAGATAAAGGTCCAGATATTTTGAAACTAGAACATTTCTGAAGACATTCTGAAAGGTGGCTTCTTATTCTGAACAACATGTTGACATTTTGATGTATAAACTATATGAAAAGTGTACAAACCAAGATAAGAAAAATGTTGAAGTTGCTACCTGTGGCTCATTAAGGTCGCCATGGTAACCACACACCTGTGTCTGCCACTTCCTGACTGCAAACCAAAGAGGCGGACAGACAGACTAAAACGTAAGCCTAAAAACAAACTGCTGCTGTGGGAAGACTTTATCTTAAAAGCAGAAGACTCTAATAGACATAAGATGTCTGTTTGGTTTTCACTGTGCGAGAGGTGGGGGACATTCCTTGGACAGGCCTCCAGTCCATTACAGGGACACAGAGACAAACAACCATTCACTCGCTCACTCACACCTAGGGACACTTTAAAATTACCAGTCAGTCTAACATGCATGTTTTTGGTCTGTGGGAGGAAACTGGATATCCATCTGGAACACATAACAAACTATTGCCACAAAAGTCTTTGAAAGTTGCAAAAGATCAGCCAACGCTTATGATTTTGTTTCTCATGGGCTTTGCCACAAGTGCTTCACTGATGAGACTATGGCCACAAAAAGGTGAACACCTCGCCTGACCTTAGCTGCACGGCCACACCAGCACGAAAAAGTGCCAAATTGGCTTTACCCGCCAAAAACGAGGCCACTTCCCAGCAGAGTTCATCAAGATCCCCCATAAAAAGACACGAGTTTGGGAGGGACGGTCTCAGTGTGCATAAAGATCAGGCGAGACACAAAACACCTAATGTGGTTTTTGAAGGTTTCAAGAAAATCAGCTTTAAAAACAGCTTTCACAAATCACGTCCTGCCTTGAATATATCTACAGGCGTCTGTTTTATTAGAAAGCAAATTTGATTGAATTTGTCATTTCATTAAGAAATACAGGTTTACTTCTAAATTCTGGTCTGACTCTTCTTTCCATAGAAAATAAATGAAGAGCGTGTGGATGTGGGTCAGTCCTGGCCAACAGACGGAAAAGTTTTCCTTCTATAGCTACAGATTTTTTTTTCTTGTCACAATTTGAAGAATGCAGGCCTCAGAACAAAGTAGGTTAGTATTACAGCATTATATAAGCATTAGGTATTAGGACAGTCCAGACCTTTCTTCTCACGTGCCGTTTAAACTCCCAAACAGTCGGCACAGCCAGAGGTTTGGCACCGTTTAACGGCTGCAGTCAGCGAGTGCATCAAGAGCGTGCCTTGAAACAGATGTGTGTGTGCACGTTTAGAAATTAAACAATGAAAGTGAAAAAAGTTGGCAGCTCTGCTCTATAAGCTCTTTTTCAGTGCGTGTGTATTTTTTGTTTCATTTCTGATGATTCCTGCCAGAGTTTCAGCCATCTGTTGATAAATTACATCTACAACTGCAAAGACAGTGATGTACGAGTCCTTCCAACTTAAAAAAGGAAACAAAAAAGGCATCTTTCTTAAATATTTGTAAAAAAAATAGGGTGTCATATCAAATCTTTTTGACTCCATAAAAGAGCTCCAACTCTGACGTGTGGTATTTAAAGTAGTAAAAAAAATTTAAAGGCTTAGATTCTCAGGAGTAAAAGTAAATATACAAACCCAATGGACCAAGGTTGGCAACATATCTGTTTTAAAATGTGCTACTTAATAGGCACATTTCCTCTGTTAAGGGATTAAACATAACATTTTTTAAAGATGGACCCAAAGAAGTGAAAAGACCCAACAAGCAAGAAGAGATGAAGAAGAGTACTATTTTGCTATATAAACAGAAAAGTTAAATTAAATTCCTGCCCATCTGATTATTAAATTGGATGGTTGTTTTCACGCATCAGATCACACTGCGGAGGAGGAGGACGGGGAGGGGGCAAGCCAAGCGGGATCCTCGATGCCAACTGTCGAGTTGCCAAGGAAACGAAAGGGGTGTGTGGAGGAGAGGTCAGACTCCCATGTACAGTAAGTGTTTGCAAGGACAAACCAAACCGGTGCCATATTACTCAAGTGCGCTGTCATAAATGTGATATTGTTCACTGAACACTTTGTTTGATCTTCCAGACACAGCCTCAACTTCCAAACGGACGATGACCTCAACAGGTACACCGAACCCAAGACTTTACATTGTCGTGCAGGAAAATACTCACGTCAATGTTATTGTATCTCTCTTTATTTGCAGGTCTGAAGGGGAGGATCAGCAAGTCAAAATGAAATGTTTCAGGTGAATTTAAACTCTACATTTGACATTTGCAGTCATGCCCTCCACAAGCTTAACTACAATCACTGACAAAACAAAAGTTAAGCGCCCAGACAGAGTTGTGGAAATGAGACCGAGCTTGTTGTAATATCGTGTGACTGTGTTGCAATGCTTATAGCATCAAATGGAATGTGGAAAAGTGTGGCCCACCTTTAGGATTGGATATAAGCAGTGATTTGTTGGAGAGTGGAGTCGGACAGCCGTTGTATTGTCTACTGCAGTACGTCAGCCCCAAGCTTTAGTAACTGACTCTCAAGATTCGACAGATGTGCCCTGGGTAAAGAAGTCCGAGCGGATTCCACACATGTTTGAACAAGTAAAGGTTAGGCTTGTGGTTTGTTTAGTCATATGAAACAGATTGTCCATAAACATATGTACCATATGTAATGAGAGTTGTCTTTTTGAAAGACTGTACATGGGTGCTGTCTCAGGAAAACTAAGACATGGACAAATGCACCAACCAGCTCCAGGAAAACGATGTAAATCTTTCATTATGGTGCACGAGTCAAAACTGAAGGAGGGGGAGAAGTTCACATATCTGTGCAGCAAACTGTCACAGACAGCAATTATAAATGATGTTAACTGTGTAGTAGCAAAAGCCAGTGTTGCCTTTGACAGAGTCCACTCCCAAGTTTGGGAGAGTAGAAGCATTCATCTTGAAACCAAGATTTAAGTCTACAAGGCAGTCGGCATCACCATTCTGATACAGTATATGGTTGTGAGACGTGGGTTGTTAATGTAAGAAATGTGAAACAATTGAACCATTTCCACATGACAAGCCTTTGCTCTCTGATGAATGTCATATGGCAACATAAAGTTCCAGACACTGAATTTCTAACACGTGCAACTCTTCCATCCAATCCCAGATTCTCTGGGCAGGTCATGTTTGCTGCATGCCAGATACAAGACTCCCTAAACAACTGTTGTATGGGGAACTGGCATCAGACAAAAGATCCATTGGAGGTCAGTGTAAGCACAAAAAAGACAATCTCAAAGAACCATTGAATAAATTTTTATCAACACAGACGCGTGGGAAAGCCTAGCGCAGGATCAAGCAGAGTAGCCTGAAGCAAGGGTACAAAAGATGCTGAGACAGCACAGCTTAAGAAGTCTAGGAAAAGTCGCAAGGTCTGCAAAGGTACTCAAAAGCTTTGGCGACTGAGAGCACCACTTGTGCCCATTGGTTCATGCTGTAAAGGTACCAGCTCTCTGTAAGTCTTAATATTTACTGCACAAACCCATCACAGGTCTGCATGTGGACCAAATTATATCAAACTGAACCACTCTTTCTGGCTGTTTAACTCCTTTTTTTGTCAACGAGAGTGCTGACAGTTGCTAATTCATATAATTATCATGAATTTTCTTAAAATATTTCCCCAAACAGATACCAAGTGTAAAAATGTGAAAACAATTTCCTCCCTTCAAATAACATAAAATAAATTCCTATACAAATGTACTTGCAGGGTGCCTCACCGGCAGATTGAAAAGCAGCGGAGAGACAAAATGAACAACCTCATTGACGAGCTGTCTGCCATGATTCCTGCCTGTCAGCCTATGCCTCGAAAACTCGACAAACTCACTGTGCTACGAAAAGCTGTACAACACCTGAAAGCCCTCAAAAGTAATTCCCAACACCTGGTGTCTTAGAATGCAGATGATATTTATTTGCTCAGTTTGATCCTTTTTTTTATGTGTGTGTGTTTTCAGTTGGGACGAGCAGCGCCTTCACAGACACCACCCACAAGCCTTCCTTCCTGCCTCACGATGACCTTAGGAACCTTCTGCTCAGGGTAGATGCTGATGTTCAAACCTCAGCAATTTGGTTTCATTACATTTTTAAGTCCTATGGCTGTATGCATGTTATAACTGGACTGTTTCTTACCAGATCAAGACTAATACAATTTCAGTCAACAAAAGTGACAACATGTTGCAGTGAAATAATATATTTAAGAAAAACAAAGACAAAATGCAGAAAAGGTGGCTGACGAACTAATCATCCTCTAGCTTGTAGAATAACTTTTATTAACAGTAACTTAAATTTCCTGATTCCTCAATAGCAGAGAAGAAACCCAAACAGGACTCCAGCCAGACATCCGGTGAAAAGGAGGAACCCAGACCCAGACCGGTGGTCATTCCATATGTTGTGGGAGTTCCAGAGAAACTGAGATAATTATTTTCTAAACATAACGTCCCAGTGACATTTAAACCCCAAAATACATTACGGCAAAGACTGGTTCATCCCAAAAATCCAGTCCGCTGATACAGAGTAATATTGTGTACACTGTTCAGTGCCAGGAGGGTGATCAGTCATACATCAATGAAACTAAACAGCCACTGGCCAAAAGGATGGTCCAGCACAGAAAAGCAACATCATCAGGCCAGGACTCTGCAGTCTACACTCATCTCCAGGCCAGCGGTCACTCTTTCAGGGATGAAGATGTTCACATCCTTGATAGAGAGGAACGATGGTTTGAGAGAGGAGTAAAGGAGGCCATCTTTGTGACGAGAACTTGTCCATCGTTAAACAGGGACAGAGGTCTCCCCCTCTTACAGTATTGCCAGTATCACTCAGCCCCCTGTGAATAGGAAGCAGCCATCAGGGCACTAACAATTGGTCATTGGGCTGATGGTCTTCCTTTATCATGTGAACAGTTAGTTCCGGATGCCACCATCAAACTGCTTGATCCACTATGAGAAGGTGTTATTTATAAGACTGAGTTTATTGCAGCTCCTCAGACTGAAGAAGTCTTTTGGATAAAAAAACAACAACATTTCCATGAGAAGAATCCGTCCATAGGATCTGACTATTTTGTTAGAATAACTTAAATTGTTCTCTGTTTGACTTTGTCAGGATCTCTCACTGTAGAGAAACTTTGGCCCCACTCTTCCATTGAATGCTGCTTATTTGAGGTTTGCAAATGGTCATTCTAAATCTACAGTTTGCTTAAGGTCCTGACACAAGGTTTCAGTCAGCCTGAGGTTTGGGCTTTGACCAGGCCCTTGCTACACCCTGATTCTTTTCTTATTCAACCTTTTTGTTGTACGTTTTTTGCCATTTTTGTCACATTTTACCATCAAACCTGGTCCAAGATTTGGCGTTCAGACATGACGTCACAGTAGTCTCGAGAGTTCTTCGGTCTACAGAGGGGTTCATTCTTTGAATCAATGACTGTAGGATGCCCAAGTGCTGGGGGCTGAAAAACAAGCCCAAATCATCACCTCTCCACAACCATGCTTGATAGATGATACAACATGCTAGTGTAGATATTTTTGTCTTTCTTTAAAGTGAAACTTTGTATTTTGGTTGAACAAATTTGCCTGCTTTATTCTTGTTCGACCAAAGGACATCGATTTTGCTCTTCACCAAAAGCAAAGGCAGATCAATATAGTTTCTGCTTGGGTCTATTTCTTTCTGTGTTTTTAACTCTTGCAAAACATCTTGTGAACAAATGCATACATTTTAATCAAATGTTTAGAAAGTAATCACCGGGTTGACATCTACAACTGATTACCTTTTGGGGTCAACCCATTCAAGATGGCCACCATAGCAAAGCAATCCTAGTAAACACTAAAATAGCTATAGCTCAGCCGATTTGACAGATAATGAGCTAAAATTTGGTAGTAATTAAAAAACTTAATCGCCCCATTAACTGTTAGTCAATTCTAATACTGTATCTCCCCCTCCTCGCAGAATGTCGGCATCATTATGTGCTTGTGTGCGAGTTTTTTTTTCATTTTCAGGCTATTGATCTTCAGCCAAAGATTAAGAGCATGTTGGGAATTTTTTTTGTCTCCAAAACCTGTTGTCATTTTCACCACTTTATTGTCTGTCCAAACAGTTCTATGTCGTATAAGCTTCGCCCTTTAAGGCCTTCGCTTTAGTGGGTTTATCCCGTTATGCAGAGCATAAGCACTGAAAAAATTAGTCCACGCCCACCTGCTGTGTGGGCCCCACCCGGTCCGTATAAATTACGTTAAGAGCGGGAAATCGGCTCCCATTTTTTCTTCAGCGAGCTAATATAGCACTGTCAGAAGAACAAAGAAGATAAATTGTGTAAATGACCAACCTTTGCGAAAGATGCTTGGCCCGGCAGTCGACCTCCGGTCGTCCGGTGAGTTCTCCTCCCCGAGGAGAAGATGACAGCAGTCTTATTCCAAGGTAAGCGTCGTGGAACATTTTCCCAGTGACAGGTCACTACACGCTGGACAACGCCATCTTGTGGTTTTCCTCTTATCGCCGACCCTCGGGGCGAACCGGATGGTTCCTCCGGGGCAAGGCGTGCTCAGCTGCAGCCCCGCTGCTCTTTCCCTCCTGGGGAGCGTAGTGTAGGTGGAGGGGGGCTGAGTGAATGCTCACCCCATCCCACCTCGTTTCGCATCGGCGATCACACCGCTCCCGGCCGACGGCGCCCTCAGGGGTTGCCCGGCGGAACCCAGGAGGAGGCTGACATGAAGGGACCCCCTTTTTTTTTTTTCTACGTCCCTCGCCTTTTCCCGCCAGTTCGGATGATCGGCGGAAAGGTTATTTTTCACTGGGCTCCACTCTGGCTCACCGTCTTGATCCATACGGCCTCGCGTTCCAACAGGACGTTCCACGGGCGAGGCCGCAGACGGTTCTTTCCTGGTAGATTAGAGGAGTCGGTCCCCAGTCCGCTCCCATCACCAGAGTTGAGGGATTCACCGAGCGGGGCTATTCCTCGGTAACCCCCCCCCTGGAGCCAAGCCTCGCGGAAGCTTCCGGAGCGAAGCTGC